TATGAACTATGATGTCTCAAACATTAAATAGGTTAGAAAAATAAGATTATTTCTTTTTATCAAAATAGAAAAATATAATTATAGAATATATATAATTACATAGAAAGCAATTAAAGAGAGATATATATGCAAACAACAAAGATATAAAATGGATGAAGAAAATTAACAGAAACTTACATAGACATTTGGGACATGAGATATTTTGCTCCATTCTGGGCCTACATCCCTTTTGTACCTTTCACTCAGATTTGGGCAACCAATTATTCCTAACTTTTGAAGGCTACGACAGTGATCCATTCTGGCATTGCTGTTAAACTTGTATCACAAATATAAATTTGTTGTAAAGTCTTGGCAGATCTTCGAAGCCAGTTGGGTAAGTTGATCAACATGGGCGATCCACCAATAAAAAATATTTGAAGATTCATGTTCTTGGCAACTTCATTTTGCTTTCCTCTTCCTTCATTTTCAACTTCGTCTTCAAAACCAACTAGCTTTTCACAATCCATAATTACCAGCTTCTTCAAAGAAACCAAATGTGATAAATCACGCGGTATGACTACTAAGTTATCACAACGGGAAATTATTAAAACTTTAAGAGATCTAAAGAACCTTATATATATCTCGCTGTCTCGTATTCTTTTCCACTCATTTTCATCTTCTTGTGACCTAAGAATGCACCCTGAAGTCACTATGGCTAGTGGCAACCCTTTGCACTTTGCAACAATTTCCTTCCCAGTTTCTTGATGCCTGGGGCGTTGATTTGCTTCCCCCTCTTCTTGGAAGGCACACTTAAAAAATAACTGCAAACATTCCTCTTCTGGGAGTACTTGTAAGTTGACTTTAGCAACAGTCTGTCTTCATAATTATTGTTGAAGGTACAAAATGGATAATTGGCTCGTAGGAAGAGGCAACATATTAACACTTCAAAATGAGCTCCCTACAAATGCCAAAGCAGCAGATCTACTTCTGCAAGATCAAAAGCAGTGGAATTTGGAGCTAACGGTGTTTTTCATCAAGCAGAGAAAGACAAAAATCAAGAATATACCAACTGAAGAGCAGGTTATATGCTCTCACACAATCCATGGTAATTTCACTGTGAAATCAGCATATACAAGATTGCAAAGCCAAAATCTCATAACCCAACTATCAACATCAGATTCTCAAGGAATATAACTGGATTAGACCATTATGGTTTGCATCTGCAGTTCAATTCGGATCAGCTATGCGCAGAGTCCTTCTAATGAGTGCTTTGTCTCCTTGCTAAATATAGGAAAATTTGAAATTGCCGAAAAAAGAATCAAGCTTGACAGAAACTTTGGAAGGTTGTTTTTATCTCTTTTCATTTGTTTCTTTATTACATCATACAATCTTAGAAATTTTTTATAACTTACTTTTTTAAAATATTAACACTACTACTTATTATTATTATTATTATTATTATTATTATTATATACAAACAAACGTTGCAAACCAAAATGAATTCTTTTCATTATTTAATATTTTATTTTTTTATAAGAAAACAATTCTTCTCTAAAATTGAAAGTTAATTCATATAAACAATTTGTATTTTATGTTTAATTCATAAAAATGTATTAATTAACTAATGTTTAGTTAAATAGAATTTTAAGAAAAAGTGTTACAACCAGTTCAGTATATATAAAATTAGTGCTGGTTTTAAATATTTTTACGATGTAAGTAACAATTTTAGTCATATTTTTCTATTATTATTAATAATTATGATATTAAATTAGTCAACCTTTTTTCTTTTTTTGTTAAATATTCTTCTTAACATAACATTTTGCAATAACAATGAAGATATTAAGTTGAATGATGAATGAATGAGAAAAGCAAAGGAGCTAGAGCACAAAATCTTGAAAGAAGCAAATAATTTCATTCATGTTTGATATTTTATTCTGAATTATAAAGACACGGTAAATTGATTGCGTGAATTAATACATAGTAATTAGAAATCAACCATAAAGAAATTTGCATTTATGGTAATGATAATCTGAATTTTTTTTTCTTCTAATTGTTAGATTGAATTATACAAGAATGGTTGTTGTTATTCTTTTCATTTGTTTAGGGTTTAGGATATATAACCCTAAACAATTTAGTGTTCAGTATATCCATTTTTTTAATAAAAATTTATTATATAACAATTTAACTCGTTTTTCAATAATATTAATTATTCTGATATTAAATTAGAAACATTGTTTGAATTAATCTAAGCATTTTTTTAAAATCGTGATATACAAATGACGTGCCAATTACTTATGTGCTATTTTATAATGAAAATTAACAGTTAACTTTTTTGTTTATATAAAATGCAGTATAATATAGGTAAATTCAATCTTTTTTTCCTCTAATTTTAGGGAATATTTTGATTTAGTTCTCTAACTTATTTATTTATTTTTATCTTTAAAGTTTAATTTTATTTCTACGCTGCCATTCTATTAAACATGTTATATTAGTTAACAGAAATATCTATGTGACACTGAAATAGTCTAAACGGTGTTAAATAGTTTAACTTAGACTTTTTTATTTAAAAAATTATTAAAAAAGGAAATTATAATTATGTATGCTCCTTCGTTAAGAGTTAGAGTTTTATATTGTCTTTCAAACAGTAAAATAAAGGACGAAGCTTTCACCAACGTAAGAATGTGGAGAGCTATAACACTTTTCTATGATTTCTTCAATTGTGATTTTGTTTGTTCTTCCATCAACAGTGGCAACGACTCAAAAAATGAGTTTAGGAAAAGAATCTGTGGAGATTAGGAACAACAACTAAAAGTGAAATTTGCACTACAGTTGCAGTGGATTAGATTATACGTGATTGTAGTGATAAATTTACTATGATTGTACTTGATTTGTCGGAGCTGATCAAGTTTAAGGAAAATGAAATTTCTAAAGAGAGTCACCAATAAAAAGATAATCAATAGTTTTAGATTGTAAATTAAAGAAAGAGAGTTGAAAAGGGGAGAAGAAAGGAAATTTTTGAAGGATGATAAGTCTAAGTATGACTATAGAAGTGATAGTGATAGAGGAAATGAAACTTATTTATATGTTATAATTAAGAGCAACAAGTATAGAGTAAAAATGTATAGATAAAACTTTATTTTTACATGTGTATGTTATTCATCCTTAATTATAAATTCAAAGTTATGATATGTTTAATAGTGATTAACTCTCAAATCAACAGTTCTACGTTACAATAATTTTGAATCCAACAAAAAAAAACTGACAGTTAAAAATTAGAATATCTTTTGAGGCAAGACAACATCACACCACATTTAAGTAAGTGAAGTATGAATTTTGACAATTGTGTTTAAATTTGAGCTAAGAAAACTACTTGTTCAATTCATCTGGACTAATGGACTACATTGATCGGTTATTTGTGTGAATATACATACTAAATAGATAATTAATCATAAAGTGGAAAGAGAATAAATAATTTTATATCTACTGTTATCATAATCTTATATTACTATTTTTGTTGTAATTTTAAGATTGAATTATATAAGAAGGTTTGTTGTTATCTCTTTTTATTTGTCTAGTATTTAAGATATATAATCCTAAATAATCTAGTATTCAGTGTATCCATTTTTTAAATAAAAATATATTATATATAAATTTTTATTATATGTTTTTAGATGTATGTTAAAAAAATTGTTTACAATACTAATTCCTCTCTATTATGTAATAAATATTAAAGTTGAAATTATATTTTATGTATAAGATATTTAGTGAGTAACTTTTTAAGTTGAATTTATATATATCTTGTAATTTTATTAACTTGAGTCTCATGTGAAATAACAGTTAAAATATTACCATTATATATATATATATATATATTATATAATTTTTGAAGAAAATAATAATTATGAAGAATGAAAAGTTGGTATAACAAATTTGTATATCATGTTTGATCCATAAAAATGTATTTACTAATATATAGTTATAGTATTTTAAGAGAAAAAATGTAACAATCAGGTCAATATATATAAATTAGTGCTAGTTTTAAATATTTTTACAATATATGTAACATTTAAATTATATTTTTTCATTAATATTAAAAATTCTGAAATTAAATTGGAAAGCTTTTGAATTAATCTATGATTTTTTTTTAAAAAAAAAAACTGTGATGTATAGATTACTTATGAGTTATTTTTAATTGAATTTAATATATGAACCTTTTATTTATGAGTTTTATCTATATTATATACAGATACATGTGAAATTAGTTGACAATTTTGTTTATATATATTAAATTTCTTGCTTTTCTATCTACAATTTTTATTTAATAAATTTTCTTCTTAACATAACATATTACAATAACAATAATGTTTAAGAAAGAATCTATCTTTGTTTTTGTTTATTTATTTATTTATAATATTTTTAATATAAAAATTGAATAATTTTTTTAAATAAAAAGAACGATTAGATATATAAACATTAAGAGTTTAGATTTTATGGTCTCAATTTTTTATTAGATATTTGATAAAAAGTAACTAGTGACAAACTTTTTGAATATAAATACACTCATTTTCATTTAAATCTTACAACATGAGTCAATTATAAGTTTAAATATAAAGACTTAATCAATACATAATTAAGAAAGTAATTTTGCACACACTTATATTTACATATGAAAGAAAATAAAGAAGGTTACAAACTAAACGGAACTTCCACCAAATTCTTCTTCTGTTGTTGACTCCTCGTCTCTGTCCATCTTACATGGTATACAAAATTCAATAATTCTTACTTATTAGAAACTAGTAACAACAAAAAAAATATAACGACTTTTTAGCAATTATGCAAACACAATACATATTAAAAGCTATCTACTAAGATGTCTCAAACACTAAATAGGTTAGAAAAATATAATTATTTTTTTATCAAAATAAAAAAACATAATTATAGAATACATATTTAATTACATAGAAAGCAAATAAAGCGAGATATATATGCAAACAACAAAGATATAAAATGGATGAAGAAAATTAACAGAAACTTACATAGACATTTGGGACATGAGCTATTTTGCTCCATTCTGGGCCTACATCCCATTTGTACCTTTCACGCAGATTTGGGCAACCACTTATTCCTAACTTTTGAAGGCTTCCACAGTGATCCATATTCTCAGGCAGTGACAACAACTCTTCACAATCTAAAATGTATAGACTGTTAAGTGATGTTGCATTTGGAAGCCATTCTGGCAATGCTGTTAAACTTGTATCCCAAATACAAATTTGTTGTAAAGTCTTGGCAGATCTTTGAAGCCAGTTGGGTAAGTTTATCAACATGGGCGATCCAGCAATAGCAAATATTTGAAGATTCATTTCCTTGGCAACTTCATTTTGCTTTCCTCTTCCTTCATTTTCAACTTCGTCTTCAAAACGAACTAGCTTTTCACAATCCATGATTACCAGCTTCTTCAAAGAAACCAAATGTGATAAATCACACGGCATGACTTCTAAATTATAACAACTGAAAATTGTTAAAATCTGAAGATAACTGAAGAACCTTATATCTACAAAGCAGAGATTTGTGATTTGTGCAGTAATCATCAAAATTCGAAGGTTGAAAAGGTTCCTCAAGTTTTTGGGTAACTCTTCAAGTGCGTTACAGCCGACAAGAATTAAAGTCTGGAGATTATAGAGCTTCGAAATGGAGTTGGGGAGTTTTTTCAACTCAGAGCATTCACTCAGATTAAGATATCTCAGATGCTTCATCTTGTCGAAGCAATCAGGCAGGAACAGAAATGCCAAAGATTGCAAATCCAACACCCTCAAGTACTTGAATTCCTTAAACATCCACTTTACAAATGGTTCTGTCGTGGTGATAGATCCTTGTGTGTGCCAATTTCCAAATGATTGAACCTTGTTTCTCTTGAGGGATAGCGAAAGCAATTGGTCTGGGATGGTTGAAAATGATATATGTCGCACTTTTTCATTGACATGTGTAGATGCACTACTCATCACTGTAGTCTCACCATGCATCGTCGACATAGCAAGATCATGGATCAGAGCATGCATTTTGTAACGACCAACGCCCAAGACTTTCCCTACTTCGTACTTAAAAGGTGAGCCGAATTCATCTTCAAAATCTTCAGATTGAAAGAAGGACAATGAAATTAATTGCCTGAAATATAACTCTCCAAGACACACTGGATCTTCATTTTCATTCGTGGGTTGGAGGAGTCCCTGTGCCATCCAAATTGGAATCAATTCTATTGGCCTATATTCATGACCTTTAGGGAAAAGAGCACAGTAAGAAAAACATTGCTTCAGAGGAGATGGCAATTGAGAATAGCTTAGCCTTAATGCTGGTAAGATTTCACCTTTTTGATGATCTATTTCCCATATCTCGCTGTCTCGTATTCTTTTCCACTCATTTTCATCGTCTTGTGACCTAAGAATGCACCCTAAAGTCACTATGGCTAGTGGCAACCCTTTGCACTTTGCAACAATTTCCTTCCCAATTTCTTGAAGTCTAGGGCATTGATTTGCTTTCCCCTCTTCTTGAAAGGCACACTTAAAAAATAACTGCAAACATTCCTCTTCTGGAAGTTCTTGTAAGCTGATTTTAGTAACAGTCTTCACAATATCAGCAACTCCCTCGCTACGAGTAGTCACTATGATTTTGCAATCATTTTTGTTCCTTTCACTAATTGTATCCAACAGGAGATCCCGTAGGTCATGCCATCTTTTAGCATTTTCATTCCACATGTCATCAAGGACAAGTAAAAATTTCTTCTCATATAGTTTCTCACGAAGAAGAGTCTTCAACCTTTCTAAGGCCATGTCTTCATATAGTTTCTCATGAAGAAGAGTTCTCAACCTTCCTAAGATTACGTCGTCACCGCCTCTGCCTTTTGTATCATCTACTTGTGTAACAATTTTTGATATTATTCTTTTAACATCAAAATCTTGTGACACATGCACCCACAATATTAAATCATAATGATCAGCTATTCTTGAATCGTTGAACACCAATTGGGCAAGCGTGGTCTTCCCGCACCCTCCCATTGCAACAATTGGGATGACATCAACACTTTTGCTTTGTGATTGTGACGGTTCTCTCATCAATAAACTTATGATATGTTCCTTCTCTTCATCTCTACCTGTTACACGTGAAGGTAGAGAAGAATGGGTCTCCCTCCATGGTAACATTTTATGGAGAGCCATGTCATTTGTAGAACGTTGAATGAGACCGAACTTGTTTCCATTGAGTGCAATCTCATCAATCTTTTCTCTTATGTCCTTAATTTTGTGAGCCATTTTGACGCGAAATACAAGTGGATTAGAACTTGAGAAAAATTGACGCACCTTTTGAGAAACACATCCATGCATTTTCATCACTTTACTTATATTTGCCTGACACTCAATTTCATCCAATATGATATTTGCATCATAGAATGCACGTTTAAGCAGTTGCAACCATGCGGTGATGCTTTGGTCTTTGAATTGCTTGTCTTCAGCGTCTAAAAGGAGGGCATTGACGAGTTTCACAGACTCTTGAAGCCTCTCTGCATCATCTTTGAGACCCCATGCCGAGATAATCTCATTATAAGCTTTGGTTGCAAGCTTCTCCAATAATATGTTGCCCACTCCGGAAACAATTTCACCCATCCCCTCTGATATATAACAACTAATTTATTTTGCATAATTCTTGAAATAATATTTATTTTTTCAAATTAATAATATCTTGTGAATGCTTTTCAACAATTCTCAAAGTTTCTGTAATTTATAATTTAAAAACTTGTTCTATAACATTTTTACATTTTTATGTGCTAGAGTAAAATTGTTTCAATGTTATAAGGACGAGGTGAAGACAAACGTGAACCACAACAGAGGCCAATGCCTTTTTCCTTTTCTCTTGTGACAAAGAAACGTATAGCAAAGTAAAATTTATATATCAAGATAACTCCATACATTATTCAAGAAGTACGAAAAAAATGTGCCATAGTAAACTCTTTTTAAAAATTCAAACCTAAAGTTTTAAATTTGTATATATAAAAAATCTTAAATAAGCTTCAATTTTTTCCTTTAAAAATAAAATTGTAATATATATATATATATATATATATATATATATATATATATATATATATATATATATGAGAAATGATCTTCTCACACTATTATAAGTCTAAACTCTTTTACTCAATCTAAATTTTTCATTTAACTTACATTTAAGGTTCAGGAAAGTAATAAATTATAAATTGTTAGATGTATATTAAATGAAAGACTCAGATTGAATGTAAGAATTTTTAGACTTATACTAATGTAAAAAGATCCTCTCCCACGTGTATATATATATATATATATATATATATATATATACATGCTTAAATAATCATTAATTTAGTTCTTAAACAATACAAACAAATTTCCAACACATTTGTTATGTAATCTTTTTTTTCCATTAATGTTGTTCTTTAACTATGTGGAAAAAATCATTTTTTAAAGTAGAAAATATTTTATGTCAATTTGATAAATTAGTCTATATATTTGGACTCTCTTGCATACATTGTCACTAAATTGGACAAAGAAAAATTAATGTAATGAAACCTTATAACTAAAATCTAAATTGATATATCATTTTTAAAATAAGTTAATTATTTGAGCTTGTTTTGCATGAATATTATAATTTCATATTTTCAGCCAATCTGATTTCGGTCAACTCTTTTGGCCATAACTTTTTATATAGATATTATTTTTGACTGATTCTAGTTGTATTGGATTTTACACATCGGAGGCTTCAAAATGCATATATAGTTTGCAAGATTTGAAGTTGTTTTCTATTTTTTTTTTAAGATGAGGCAGATTTGCTGAAGTCGCCCATATTTTCAAGTCTCGGTTAAGTGAGAATTACCTCACTTGAGTGAGAGAAGCATAGTTCATACAAGATTTTTTTGTTAGTTTTTTCACTTGAGCAAGAATGGCCTTCGCTCGAACAAGAATTGGCCTGCCTAAGCAAGAATTTGAGTGAGAAATCTTTTAACAGACTTTGCTCTTTGGTTGTTTTTTGCTTGAGCGAGAACTAGCTCACTTGAGCGAGAATTTAGGCAAGAAATGGCATCTAAGCAAGAATTTGAGCGAGAAATCCTGTAGCAAACCTTGCTCTCTGGTTGTTTTTTGCTTGACCGAGAATTGACTCGCTTGAGTAGAATTCACTTATCTCCATACAAAGATAGAAGATTTAGCTTGAAAAGGGAGAGCTGGAGCAGGCTTTGAAGCTTCAGTAACAATGACCTAATTTGACATTGCAGAATAGTGGAGGAACTTGAGAAAGTGATCAAGAACCATTAGGGGGACTAATTTATATCTCTTTTCCTTGCATTTTTAATTGCAATGTATGCCATGAAAGGTTAGAACTCCATGAATTGAATGTAATCTTCATACACTGAATATTTTGATTTTTTAATATATGTTTGTTTATTTTCCATAAGTTGGGTGTGTTTATCTTGATACTAATGCTTGTTTTTACCTTACAAGATATGATTCATGATCTAGGAATCCAAGGTGAGTTAGGAAGCTACCTCAGAAATCAATTGGGGTAAATACACACAATAGGTTAGGACTATAGAAATATATTTTAATTTATTATATGTTATATAACTCTTGCTAGTAACATTGTATTATTTGTTATTCAGGTAAGAAATTATCACTCAATAAATATATCTTAGAATCTTGGGTGAGAGATGTAACGCCTTTTTTTATATTATTATTTACTATTTGATAAATGGTTTAATATTAAGTAATGTTAGAACATGTTTTAATTTGAATTGTCAAGTGTTTGATGGAGGTCAGGTGTAGAGGGTATCGCTCACGCAAAACTGAATGCTTAAAACTACATGATTTCATAGCAATTTCGTTCAAGTGAGATGAGTCTCACTCAGGTGAGATAGGATAGACTAGGTCCAACTGTATTCTCACTTAGGCAAGAAATGATCTCGCTCAGACGAGAAGAGATCTCACCTAGGCGAGATGGAGCTTACTCAAGCGGTCTCACAAGAAAATTGAGTAACTCTCTGGACACCTTTTTGCTCAGGTGAAAATGACCCTTGCTCAAGTAAAAAATCAGAAAAAGTCTAGAATGACTACTGTATGGTATTCTTGCCCAAGCAAGATATGTCTTGTTTAGGCAAGAGTCACCTCGCTCAAGCAAAAATTTCCTTACTTACGTGAAAACGCATAAGCTGAGGGGTATTTAAGAGATTTTCAGCATTGAAACTTTCATTTTTCAACTCAAGTTACGTTCTCCCTTTTTTCTCTCTAAACTTTCACTTTCTTTTTTTAAAGAAATCTCCTTCAAACCCCGATTGTTGCTCAAATCCAAACTTGGATGTTGTTAAGTGTCAATTTTGTATAAATTCTAGTAAGTATTTAGACACTTAAAAACTTGATTTAAATGATTTTTGTTTTTAACCCTTTTATCTTTAAGAGATCAAAAAGATATGTAATTACAACATTTTGTTAAGAGTTGTTGGATTTTGAAACCAATTTTCTTTTATTTTGACTGTAAAAAGGTCTCACCTGTGACTGGAGTTAGGAGAGCTTTGAAGTCCAGAAAGTTGTCTCATAAGTTTATTGGACCATTCGAAGTGCTGACTAGAATTGGTCTTACAGTGAATTGGATAGTGCTACCCCTGAATCTCTCAAACCTACATTTGGTGTTCCATGTGTCATAACTCAAGAGGTATGTACCAGATCCTTCGCATATGGTTGACCTTGACCTGGTTTAATTAAGAGAGGACTTGTCCTACGGATGTATACCCAGTGAAGATTGTGGATCACTACGTCAAGCAACTGAGGGGGTAAGAAAATCTCGTTAGTGAAGGTGATATGGAGTTCTAGTGATGAGGGAGATGCCACATGGGAAACAGAGAGTAGAATGAGAGAGTTATATCCATAGTTGTTTGTTTAGCTTGATTGAATTTCAGGAATGAAATTTCCTAAAGGAGGAAAGAATTGTAATGCTCCGGATGTTGTACCTATATATATATATATATATATATATTTATTAATATAAATATATGTGAATTGCTATATGTCGTTGTGTTTGATTTATATGATGATGATTTGGATATATGTATTTGACTGTGTTATGATGTGAATACGTGTGTAGGAATATATATGGATAAGTATGTGAGTATAAATGTACATGTTGGCTTGTGGTTGAATTGAAAATGTTTGGATGTGATTGGAATTGGATTGAGAAATAGGCTAAGTGTGTATTGCAGAGACATTCTCGCTGTAGAGAGAATGCCCTGGGAGAAGGGTGTGAATTTGTTGCGTTCACGCTATAGCGAGAGGCTCCTTGTTGTAGCGAGAAGGCGACATAAAGGGTTGCATTTCTAGGTGCGGCTTCAATGTAGTAAGATTCTGCAGAAATCAGAGTGCAATTTCCTTTGATATTTTTGCTGTAGAGAGAGAGGGTGTCGCTGCAGCGAGGAACCTAACTACAGCGAGAGATGTCTCGCTGTAGCGAGAATATCGTGACCAGAGGGGTATTTGAGGGGTGTAGGCTTTGTAAAATTTATTTCCCACTTCTCCCTTTGAGCCATCTCTTTATTCTCTCGATTCCCAACTTATTTTTACCTATTAAATTGCTTCCAAAGCCGTTTGTGAGGAAAATTGAAGGTTGAAATTGCGTTTGGAGTGTTTGGAGGTAAGTTTTATGGGCTAGGGTTTCGTTCCTTTGTCCCTTCCTTCATTCTCTTGAGTTCTCATGGAGATTTCCCATGTTTAAGGGATGAAGCACCGTGTGGGGAACGTTTTCTGCTATTATTTCGTATTGAGTCTTCATTTTGAGATAAAGAGGACTCTACCCTATCTTATTTTGCTTAAAAATCCATTTAATTGCTATATGTTGTGATGTGGTTAAGATAAGATGTATGAACATGTGTTTTGATGGATTTTCGTATTGGACATAACGTATTAAACATCGGTTGATATTATGTGTGAGGAAATGGTTTAATTGTAATTGGGTTGTAATAGAAACCTTGTGTGGAATATAAATATGATTGATGTTATGTATGATGCATGATGAAATGACTTAATTATGGTGAAATTAGGATAGAAATTGTATGATTGAGTATAATGTGATTGAACAAGGGTTAACATGTTTAAGTTTGGACTGATTAAGTTTGTGCGCATTTAGAATGAGATTTTAGTTTTTATGTTTTTGGGCTTTTAGCCCTTTGAGCTAGCAAAAAAAATAAATTTAATTTATTACTTAAAAGTAACCATTTTAATGTTATTTGAAGAAATTATTTAATATAATAATTTTATAATATCTAAATTTATATGAAATATCTTTTTAATTATCAAATAAACATTCAAATATTTTTTAAAAATGTGTATTAAAATATAGTATAATATATGTAAAAATTTTATTTAATGTTTTTATTAATTCATTATATATTACTAATAGAATAAATTTGTTCTATTTTGATTGGTGAAAAAAATTATTTATATCTTATGCACTCGTACGTCATACGGATATACAATCTAGTTATAAACTAATATCTTTTTTTATATTATTGGATAATAGTAACATATGTATTAAGATAAAATCTATATTCAAATCCTAATGTTTTGTGTACTTTGAAAAGAGTTTAGTT